CAGGGTTTCTCTGTGTAGCTTTGCGCCTTTTCCTGGAACTCACTTGGTAGCCCAGGCTGGCCTTGAACTCACAGAGATCCGCCTAGCTCTGCCTCCCGAGTGCTGGGATTAAAGGCGTGCGCCACCACCGCCCGGCTATTGTTCTTTTTAATAATAGCCAATATTCATATTATAAAGAATAGGAAAGTACAGTTTAACTCCCTCTGTAGAAGAATTGACTCCTTAGCTCAGGATAATAAAATATCTATTTTGGTGTTTAAGATTAAAAATAAATTTAAGAAGGTCAGTTGTGGTGGCACATTTCTTTCATCCCAGCATTGCTGAGGCAGAGGCAGGCAGATCTCTGTGAATTCAAAGCCAGCCTGGTCTAATAGTCCCAAGGCCAATCAGGGGTACATAGTGACTTTGTCTACAAACTAATTTTTTCCCCTATTAACAGAGTTGGAGAGATCAGAGGTTGAGACTACTGCCTGCTGGGGATCTGATGCCTTCTTCTGGCCTCAGAAAACACTGCATAGAAGTGGTGTACAGACAAACATACACGGCAGGCAAAAACAGCCATCTTTTAAAAACAAAACAAAACAAAACAAAAAAAACTGGACGAACAGTAATTTCTACAACAGTAGAGGGAGGGGGTGGATGGAAGTAGGAGCCAGAGGGCGGGAAGGGCTGCGGTGAAACATTCTTTTGGACATGACATGGCCCGCACACAAGGATAGCGGTTGTGGTCACCGGCACAAGATGGCAATCTCAACATTCGATCCACGAAGGGAGAGCGGCTCACGAGGGCCCACCACTCCCAGAGGTGGTTTTGGCAGTTAATGGTTGCTGCGGGGAGGAGTCGACGTTTTCTTCAGTGGTGTAGTCACCGCTGAGCTGCCGATGCTCCAGGAGATAACCACCCACCCACCCACCCATTCTCATACAATCTTAACTAACTCAGTGAATGACAACAAAGGGCAGAAAAGAGAGGAGAAGGGGCCCTGTTGGGAAGGGGTTCAAGCAGGGGATGAAGGAATGCCGTGGAAGGAAAAAAACGACCACGATGCTTTGCATATGTGTATGAAACTATCATTTTAAAAATACCAGAACACAAAACCCCAAACACCCTTCTACTTTCAAAACAGACACGAGAAAGGGTCCTCTGAGGGTGAAGACTGCCGAACGACAAAGTCGGTCTCGACCATCTGAGGCTGTTCCCATTCTGCCAAACATGTTTCTAATTTCACACCCGATAAAACTCCCTTTGGTCTTTGCACACCCAGCGCCAACGTCCCGCCCGTTAGGTCTTGCGGGAGCTAGCAACGGCTACAGCCCGCCGGCGGCACGTTCACTCCTCCGCGAGCAGGGCGGTCTCCATCCTCTGCGCTCTGCCAGAGCCGAGGCATGGAGCTGACTCAGTTCGCTGTCTGGTCTCCAGCCCAAGGCTCGCCAACGCTTTTTTGGTGAGATAAGTGAAGAGTCGGGACAGCGGGGGGCAGAAAGATCAGACAAAGGGGGCAGCGCGGGCTAACGATTTTTAGATGCGATCCCTCCTCTCCCCAAAGGCTCGCCTTCCCGAGGCTGCCCTCCACCACAGCCTGCTCACGCCGGAGACGCCCGGCGCCCCGCCCCCGCGCTCACCGTCCAGAGCGTCGTCCGGATCGGCTCTCACGCCCTGCGCGTCCCGCTCCACGAGGGGCCCGAAGAACTCGGCCACCAGCTCCTTCATTCTGGCCACACCCGCCGACAGGCTCTGGAGAGGGTCCGCATCGCCCGACGCCTCACAGGACACTTGCAGCCGCTGGGTCTCCCCATCACACCCGACGTACTCGCCCGTAAGCTCCATGGCGACCACTTAGCTTCAACAGCGCGCCACAGAGACGGGCCACCCGGAAGCGGAAGCCACCCCGCGGCCGGGGGCGGGCGAGAGAGGCGGGTACAAGGAATGACTTCCGATTCCCGGGACCCGCCCCGCCCCTTTTCCTTCCGTCTCCTTCCTTGCGATTGGCTGCCTGGCGCCCAGGCCCCGCCTTCTCACGACGCCCCTGGCGGTCACTTTTCCCGCCTCCGCCTGGGCCGCGCAGCCGAGCTCTGTGACAGTTGAGGATGGCCGGAGCCGAGAGCCCCGCCGGCGGCCAGGCGGAGCTGGAGCCCGTGGTGTCGCTGGTGGACGTGCTCGAGGAGGACGAGGAGCTGGAGAATGAGGCGTGCGCTGTCCTGGGCGGCAGCGACTCGGAGAAGTGCTCCTACTCGCAGGTGCGCGCGGCCCGGCTGCTCCCGCCGCTCTGCCAGCTTCCCGCCGGCCGCGGCCGGGCGGGCTCCGGGGCGGCCCTCCACCCTGGGCTTCCACAGCCCCGGCCCTGCTGCCCTTTCATCTCTCCCTCCGCCCGGCCGGCGGTACTCTGCGGGCTCCGGTCCTGGAGCCGCAGCTCTGTGCTCGTTGTCGGCCTGCTGTCCACGAGCTAGCTCATCCTCGTGACCTCTCAAACCCAGATAGATATTCGTCGCCCCACTTATCCCACCCCTAAAGAATGTTAATTAGGCACCAGATGGGGAAAAGTAGAGTTAAAGGGAAGTGGCCTGGATTTGAAAGGCTGCCCGTGAGGGTAGGCTTCTCGACACTCCTGCTAGCCAGTGCTTTTTTCCGGTTAAGTTCCGTGTGTATGGGCCGTGTGACACCCCCACTCCCTCCGGAGTAGATCGGAACCAAAACATCATGTGACCCTGGAAAGCCAAGGGAGGAGAAAAGGATCTGTTTGGCGTTTGTGCGACCTTGTGAACAAGAATTTGAGGGCCTGTGATGTAGTGTTTCGTGACGCATCTCGTACATCTAAGTACAAAAGTGGAGAAGGGTGGGTAGGAAGGAACTAACAGGACGAGAATTGGTGGAAGGAAACAGGCTAATAACCATGCCCGTGGGTGGAGTGGAAGACTGGGGAAGAAGGGACTTGGGAGTTATTGTGTGGTGTGGACTGAAGTCATAATATTGTCTTCCTTAACCAACTTGGGTTTGCGCTACAAAATTGTTGGATTGTTGAATAAACCTTGTATCCCAGAAATAGGCGCAGATGGTCAGTGGCAGATGGTGTTCAAAGGATCACCACTAAAACACTCCCCACTTCCTTGGAAGAAGGAAAGGAAGGTCCTAAGTCTGTGTTTGAGCTGTTTATTAATACCATTATCTTTATAAAATGTATTAACTAAAAATTTTTGTTGTTGGAGATAGGGTTTTAGGTAGGACCAGACTTGCCCTGAATTCCTGATTCTCTTGCCTTCACTTTCCAAGTACTGCTGGGATTACAAGTGTGCATCATCTTGCCTGGCTTAACGTTTTTTGTTTTATTTTTGAGACAGAATTGCAATGTGTTCTGAAGCTCACTATGTAGGCCAGGCTGGCCTTGAACTCACAGAGATCCACCTTTCTCCCAAGAGCTAGGGTTAAAAGCCTGGTCTTAAGTTTGTTCTTGTTTTTAACAGTCATATCTCTAGAAGTATAGACAGTTTTTTTTTTTAAAGATTTATTTTTTAATTATTTGTGTGGGTATATGTATGAGTGTAGGTGCCCTTGAGGCCAGAGGAATCTGATCTCCCTGGAGCTGGAGTTACAAGGGGTTGTGAGCTGCCCAACATGGATACTGGGAACTCAGAGCTAGTTCTCTGCAAGGGCAGTTTGTGCTCTTAATCTCTGAGCCATCTCTCTAACCTCAAGTTGATTCAGTAATTAAAAAAATATATATACTGGTGTGTGGGGGTGTGTGTACCATAGAAGGTGTGCAGACATCTGAGATGGAATGCAGGTTTCTAGGCTTACACAGCCAGTGCTTTTACCCACAGAGCTACCTCACCGGCCCTACAGTTTTTGTGTTGAAGTGAAATAGACATTTGTATAGTTGGGCTGGCAAGAGGTCAGCAAAGTGCTTTCTGCACATGCATGAGATCTGTGCCCCATCCCCACGAACCACAGGAAGCCAGTCATGCTGATTTGTGCTTGTAATCCCCTCTCTGGAGAGTCATGTGCCCCCTTACCAACATTTCTTAAGTTTTGGCTGTTTTTTCTTCAACTTTTAATTTTTAAATACTTTAAATTTACAGATAATTTGAAGGAATAGTATTATGAGTATCTGTATACTTTGTATATCTATTGCTTTTAAACACTTCTCTCTATTGAATACACTTTCCCTTTTTAGTCTTCATTACTTGACAGTAACTAGTGGGCATCATTATACTACTCTCCTAAATGTTTTCCCATTTATCTCCCTCCAGATTAAAATGATTATTTTTATGTATTGATTTTTCCTCTTTGGTGGAATTATAAGCATTTTCTAAAATTAAAAATATGGTATTATTCTCTTAAACCTATGTAAACTCACCTTTATTTTCATGTGTTAAATGATTAAAAATATCAATTTATTCACAGATTTAAACTTTCTATTGCTGTAAGAAAAAAATTACATAAAAACAGGCATCAGTATAGATCTGGAATTTGTAATGGTGTTTGGTCGTTTGTTGCATAACTACATTTTCTTTTACCTCTTTTTTTGGGGGGATGGGGCTGATCATTTAGGGCTCAGTGAAGAGACAAGCACTGTATGCCTGTAGTACATGCACACCAGAGGGAGAAGAACCAGCAGGAATTTGTCTAGCTTGCAGTTATGAATGCCATGGAAGTCATAAACTATTTGAACTATACACAAAAAGGTAAGGCAGTTTTTTGCCAAATATCTTCTAAATGTTTAGATTCTTTTGCAACCACAATGCCTACTTAATTTTGCTTTTCATTCAGAGTAGTTGTGTGTTGGTAAAATTTAATATGGGAGGGAATGGTTTTTCTATAGGCCTTTCAAAATTTAATTATGGTTACTAGCTTACACTACTCATCTTTTCCTTTTGTTATTTCATTTGTTTGTATGTTTGAGAGTGATAAAGATTTTTTTTATTTGTAGCGATGTCCAAAAATTGCAGTCTTTTGTTGCTTTTGTTGGAAAACTTCAAATAAGATACACAAACATCAAAAAGGCCATTTAGATTCTAGAAACGAATCAGAAATGAAAACTGTGATTGGTATTTTAAGAGTAGTTAATTTTAAAAGAAAACTTAAATATATGTTCTTCCTCTTTTCTTAATAGAAATTTTCGTTGTGATTGTGGAAACAGCAAGTTTAAAAATTTGGAATGCAAATTATTTCCTGTAAGTAAGCACTGTGATTAAATGTACTTGAGCAGGGGCTGGAGAGATGGCTGAACAGCTGCGAGTATGTCCTGCTCTTTCAAGGACCCAGCTCAGTGGTCAGCATCTACAACTACCTGTAACTCCACCTCCAAGGGCTCCAACTCTTCTGGATTCTGTAGACACCTGAATACACACATATGCATGCACACATAAATAAAAATAAATCTTTTTTAAAAATGTACTTAAAAGAGCTAAGGTTGGTATTTACCACAGTGTAAAAAAGCAAAATATTTAGTCTTGAGTATTTCACTTTTATTTTAGCCAGTTGAGAGTCTACAATTTACAGTGCAGTTAATGTTAAAGGTCTGGGAAATGTTCTTTAAGCTGGTTGAGTTTTGTTTATTGTGATCATCCATGCATGCTGAGACTTTTAGAGCAAAGCATGTGACTGGTAATCTGCAAAACAAAACTATGCTTTCAGAAAAGTTGTAGGAAAATTTCTGATGAACGAGAAAGGAAGGAGAATGGCACATTGTTCATTAATAATTGCTAAAACCTTCATCTTTTCTCTTTATGATTAATTTTTGACAATTTTCCTCCTTTTTGCCCCCAATAACCTGAATGTCTTATCTTTCTTACTTGCAATTAAAGAAATGTCTTGAGGGTTGGAGAGATGGCTCAACAGTTGAGAGTATGTAGTGCTCTTCCAAAGGACCTGAATTCACTTCCCAGCACCCATCTCTGATGGCTTAAAACTACCTAGCTACAGGCACCTGCACTCATGTATGTGCATATACCTGCATGCGTGTGCGCGCACACACACACACACACACACACACTTAAAAATAATAAAAAGTAATCTAAAAAAAAGAGCTGGGTGGTGGTGGCCCACACCTTTGATCCCATCACTCAGGAGGCACAACCAGGTGGATCTCTGAGTTTGAGGCCAGCCTGGTCTACAAAAGTGAGTTCCAGAATAGCCAGTGCTACACAGAGAAACCCTGTCTTGAAACTCTCCCTAATCCCCCAACCCTCCCCCCAAAAAAGGTGAAGACAAACATAGTTGTACTTAGCTGTAATTTCAGCATTGGGGAGGCAGAGACAGGCAAATCTCTGTGAATTCTTTGTGAGTTTGAGGCCAGCCCACTCTATACAGTGAGTTCCAGGATAGAGAAACCCTGTCTCAAAACACAATTTAAAAAAAGTGTCTGGAAGTCCCAGGCCAGTGTCATGATTAATTTTGATCTCTGTTTTGTTGTATGAATATATTAAATAAATTTCTCCCAATTGCTGCAAAGAAGATAGAGAAAACGAGGTGTTTTCTGTCTATGTAACTTGAAAAAAATATTTCTAGAATTAATTTTTTCCTTCTGACTTGAAAGTTTATGACTAGCTTGTAGGAAGATATTTAATTTAGAGATTTCTTAAATGTATACATTTTATGATGTATGAGATTGTACCTAATATTAGACTATAATATGTACTGAAATGTATTCTCTTTCAGGACAAATCAAAGGTAAATTCTTGCAATAAGTACAATGACAACTTTTTTGGATTATACTGCATTTGTAAGAGACCTTACCCCGATCCTGAAGATGAGGTAAGAGAATCAGAAGTTTAAAATATGGCTCTCAAACTTCTATAGAACTGAACTGGGGTTTTGTTGCTGCTGTTTAT